ATGAATACTTAGTGAAAATATTAACTCAACTAGTAAATGCGATTATATTCTCCAGATTATGATTATGATAGATTTCTCCAGATTTACGAAAAGGCTTGTGATGTCTGACCTGTTGTCTTGTTGTAAACTCTGCCATCAAGCTGTAAAAAAAACTCAAGCATTAAAACTCCATTAATAGATCTTTGGTCATCACAGGGCAGGAAATGTAAAAACAAGGAGGCAGCCACCATACACACACCATCTCTCCTTTAAACTCTGTTTTGGTCTCCACCAACAGAAAATATCTGGGTATTTATCTGCTGAATGTCTTTCTTCAGCAGCTTTGTTGTTTGGTCATGGGGAGTTGACATACACATGGGGTCTATCAGGGCCTTTTAACAGGAAACAGCTGCCTATGGGGGTTGATGAGAAACTCTAAGGCACAGCTACAGTATACAGCGCATTTGTAAGTCAGACAAGCAAAACAATGAGTGAAAACAAGACAAAAGGTTGAAAGTTACATGTTAATTTTAGGGCTGCAACTAACTAACTACGCATCAGTTTATTTATTAAATCGATTAAGTGTTTGGTCCATAAAATCTCAATAGTGGATCACAATTTCCCAGAGCCCATGGAGATGTCTTTAGATAGCGTTTTTTGTCTGACCACTACTCCAAAACTCAAACATATTGAGTAGTTGTTTTCAATAAGTAATGATTTAGATCCATGAAGTCTCTGTGACTGGCCTGACTGTAAACACGAGCTTGGTTTTGGGTTCAGTTTACAATCCAGTTACGATTAAATTTAGGCATGTAGTTGTTTGGATTTCGGTTAGGGTAAGCGCCTAGGGAATGCATTATGTCAATGAGATGCCCCCACGGGGATAGAGGGACAAATGTGCATGTGAGTGTGTGCGTGTGCTCATGAAAGTAGGGGTCCGCACATCCTTTCATGGCAGCAGCAATAAATGCTTTTAGCTCAGGCACATTGAAGTGCCCCTGAAACACCCCACTAAAGTACACACACACGCGCACACACACCATTAGCTGTGCTCCTGCACTAATGCCCTGTGACACCTCCCTGATCCTGGAAAGCAGATCCTGATGATGCACTGTCAGAGTGAGCAGTGTGCAGTAACCCCATACTCTCCCTCTCGACCCGGGGGACAACAGAAGACAGCTGAGCTCATATTAAACGGTCACTTGGCTCACATGTAAAAACAAATGAACGTGCTTCCTGTCAGCAGTCTTTGTTTTCAATAGGGTCAATAACAACGTTGAACCAGAACCAGTTCCATTATTAGTATCCATTATTGCCCTGTATTTGTACCATAAAACAACATGAATGCAAATCCTTTTTTTTTTTTTTTTTTTAAACATTAGGTGAGGACTAGCTAGTACAAGAAAATTACAATTAAATAAATTAAGTACATCCAACTAGTCAGGATACATTTTTCATCTATCAGCCTTTAATCCAACTGTTGGATGGGTTTTGTATATACGTCACAAAGAAATAAACAAGAGAAAATGTGTACTATTATGTGAGCAAACTCAGAAGTAACCTTGAAAAGACAAGACAGACTGTTATCTACACTAACCTGTCATTATTGATGAGCACTTTTAAACAAATGGAGACCAAGCAGAGAAGCATACAGCAAATGGCCTTTAATAATAATGCTGCACTGCAACAGCTTTCCTTCATAGCTGTCCATCATCTATTGCTATTCGGCTAATGTCTAATGCTGTGGTTTCTCATTAGTATGCATGTTTATGCAGCAGGTTATAGATGAAATTAAATTATTAAATCAGGAAAAAGTACAGATGTAAAGTGTAAAGTAATAAAGTTTTGATATATTGTTACTGCGTTCGGTGAGAATGAGTGAAAATTTCCTACATTCGTACAAACTAAGATAAAATCTACCCAGACAATGTATGTAGTCACAGGAATGTATGGCTTCATGTCAATTTGACTCAAATCTGGCACAAGAAGGCAAACAACGTCAAGAATTACAGACAGGAGATAAGCGCTGAACCAACATTAGGTGAAGTATTTGTCATATTTCACGAATGTTTGTATTCATCTTCACTCTGCAGGGTCAATTGAAGTCCAAAGGTGGTGAAAGTAGGATAAGTAAACTCAGTATATTCTCTTTTACACTCAACACAAAAATTGAAGCCTGTCACATCTTTACTTGCTTTACTTTAGAATAATAACCATGTTCAAACAAAATGCTGTAACTTGCTGTGTTTATCTAACCAGCACAACATCCCCTCATGTTTTCATTTCCTTCAAGCTGAGTTTTATTAATTGAAGCACTTGAGTGACAGCGCTTGTCAGGATCTTAACACATAGCTGCAGCTGTTGGCTGGTGTCCAAAAAGACCAAAACTATGTAAAGTGATATTCTCTCTTTACGCTTTAAGCCTCCACATGAGTTTGCCCTTCGACCTACAGTAAGGAGAAAATGTTTGCCTGCTTTGCTTTTCCATTGTTAACTTGAGGGTGATGGCTCAAACATTGTCCTGGACTTCAAGAATGATGAACTGGCCCAGTCAATAATGCCTGAAAGTGGGAAAATAAAGAAATATGCTGTACCTCTTTCAAATCACTGCCATTAAGCTTTATAAAATGTGTTTTTTTGGGTGTTTTCAGGTAGAAATAAGTATGAATTCTCCTCAAACCTTTGATTGATATTTACTGAGTGCAATCTTTTAGTAAGGTTGTATATACTATTCATATGATAATCTGCTTAACCTTATAATGTATTCTCAAAACCCTTCATGTGATCTGAAAATGTAATTACACAAAACAATTTGTGATACAAAACAACCAAGTGCTAAATACTAAGTCTAACATATTTTATCTTCTTAGGGGTTTTCTTCCTACACATCATTTTGTTATTTTATAATATTTAAATCTTAAATATTTCCACTAGACTGTTTGCTTTTAATATGAGACATAAGTAGAAGTACTTCACAAGACCTTTTATCAGACTTTGATGTGTAAAATCGGTGGAGTTCCCTTTAAAGCCAAGTGAGGCACAACTCTTGTAACCAACAGCCCATGCCAGAGGTCAAAGCTTTTTACATACTAACAGCAATCAATCAATAAATAAAATGCGCATGAAAATATGTTTTGGAGGGAGGCCTAAAGGGAGGAGGTGGGATTTCTTTGATTGGATACTTTCAAAATCTAGCTAGTTCTCCAACGCTGCCTACCCCAGCTTTAAGATGTGGGAAATGTACTGTAGGTCAATACTTTCGTCAGGACATTGAACTCCTTGTCAGTGACAAAATTCTGTGATGAAATATAACTACACACAATTAAAGAAGCAGATGAATAAACAAAGAATCCACAGAATATATTAAAAATGTCAAATATAATTCCTCCTGTGCTGCCGTCTACGTTCCTGAATGAAGAGCTATAAGAAAATGAAGATGAAGTTTTCTTATGAAGTAATGCTGGCTGCTGTTCCTCCACTCCTCTCTTCTATCTTTCTCTGCAGTAGCACCACAGCTCCTTTATTGGCATCACTCACCAGAGGGCAGATACGCAATCTTACTGTGCAAACAATTAAAGGCTGCTCCTCTGAACTCAAAACTACTCACTCGTGTTGCTGTGCTGAGGATTAACCCAACATGCTTACACATTAACCCCAGTGACACACCTAAACTGAAGGTAATAAAAGGCAGTGTAGAGCTAGCCTACTTGTTGCAAAAATTGTTGTCTTGCTGGTTACTGAATTTGGCTTTTAAAGTTGGCATTTTCATCTTGACAGTGATGCTAAGAAAATGTCATAAAGAAGATACCATAAATTATTTGGCTGGTAGATAATAAACATATTTGGTAACACTATACTGATGAAAACCCTATATCAAGATAAAGAAATGCCAGAAGACATGTTTGCATTTATGTGAGCACTGCCCTGTTCTTTGTAAGTGAATGAAGTGTCAACAGCTGGTGGTCAGGTGATGTGACAGTGAGTGATACAACCTAATAAACAAGCCTCTTGACAATAAGCAACCAGTACCTGCCTTCCAGACTGGCAGCATTGTGCATACGGTGTTATGTAATGTTCAGGAATTCAATTGATGTTGACTATGACAGAGACAAATGAAAAAACAATGTGCGGTTGTGAACTTGTCAGACTCTTGACTGATGTGTTTTAAAGTGACAGGTCCCCATAGAAGAAAAAAAATATGAGTGGAATGTCTTGAGTGATATGAAAACAACTAGTTTCCTTCACAACCTTTGGCTGGGCCTCTACAAGGTCTACCTTCAGACAATCTTTCCAGTTTGCAGAGAAAATGGTTGGAATCACAAAAACAAGAATGTACAACTGTAACCACTGATAGACCACTGGCTGTCCACAGAAAGAGAGCTCCTCTGTGTGCTGCATAATCCCCACACAGCTGGACTCTCTGTATGCAGACACAACTAAGGCCAACCATAGATACACTTGTGGCTAAGCAGTGTTGTGTAACTAATGTTAAAAGCCACACTCACACTCATCGAATCAATCTTTTTAAAACAGACAAACTGTAGAAGTCCACACTGAATGAATCAGCCCTCATATATCAGTATGATTAATGTCTACAGATGTTGTAGGTCTTCAGTAGCCAATTCAACTTACCAACAAGGTGACTAGGCAGCATTGTTAGCAAGGAATGTCTATTAGGGAAAATCCAAGTTAAGTCTCATTTCATTTCAGTCTCAAGTCTGGAGTGATGAGGTCAAGAGCAGACGTTTAATAAGGTGCAGAAACTAACTTTTTGACAAAAAGCGTGTCTTCTGATGAAATCAATTATAATCATGTGCTCCCTAATTCATCACTCTAGATCAAGTCCAAAATCCTCAAGGACAGTCTAAAGTCAACTCATTCGTACAGCAGGTCAAGTCACAATTTTGTAATGTTGGTTCGAATCAAGTCACTAGTCTCAAGTGCACAACTTTGCCATCAGCACAGTGGCAAACAACAAATTCATTTTTATTAAAACCAAGATCGCCATTGTTTTTGCTTACCTCTAGTACTGGCCCTGCCCCCAAGATTATCTGCTCCACTCCGCTGGCAAAACCCTTCTGGCTGAGAGCGGTCAGATGATGAATAAGAAAGTTTGTGCTTTGTGTCTTCCCAGAGCCACTCTCCCCTGATATAACAATGCACTGATTTCTCTCTCTCTGTAGCATGGCGTGGTAAGCCACATCAGCCACGGCGTAAATATGTGGCTCCAAATCTCCCAGTGTATGATTATCATACAACTTCACATACTTGGGGTTGTAGATGGGCAGGAACTTGAAGGGGTTAATGACGATGAGGATGCTTCCAACATAAGTGTAGATCCTTTCCTGGAGGAAGCGGAAGCGCAGGTTGTCCAGCAGCGAGCGCTCGTTAAGCTCCGGCAGATGGCAAAGATCTGCATGATCACCCTGAGAATCAGGCTGTGGCAGCAGTCCACGTTCCACCATACGCCTACGCTCCTCTGTGACCTGCAGCCACATCTGGAGGCTGCCACCATAGTGAATTGAGCCATCCAGGTTCTTTTGCCTTAGGAGGAAGCGGTAATCCTCACCGCCAGACAGTGGACGTTGCTCTAGTGCCACACGGGGCCATAGCATCATCCTCTGCACAGGACAGTCGGATGGGTTCAGAATCCATTCTTCCCCACCAAACTCCTTCACCTCAGCCAGAACATAACACTTGGTACGATCCAGCTGTAGGCGGTCAATGACACGTTCGATGGCCTCAGCAGCTGTGGTGGTCTTGCGGGCACTTATCGGGCAGTAGATGGTGCCCTCAGCCAGGGCTCCTGGGTAGATACGCACCGTGAACTCTGAGTTCTCGAAGCGCTGCCGCCGACCAAGGGTGCCCACGCCACCAACGCCGCCACCGCCATCACGAGAACTCATGGCGGAGCAGGAGTTCCCATTAGCAGCAGCTGGCACTGGCACGTCCTTTACTGGGCTGGAGAGGCCACCGATTCAAGACATTTTCACTGTAAATCAGAACAGGAAGACACAATGATTGATCAATACCCTGTAGACTAAATAATCACTTGTTTCAGGCTAAACACAACAGAAAACACTTCCACAAAATAGATAACGCATCAAACTAATGAACAGCACAGCACTAGCAGGACTGACATCGTGTATCAAGGATCTGAAGATGCAATAAAGCAGATTATAAAATATGTCAAACTATGACACAAACACTTCATGTGCCATTATGTAATGGCCAAATTATTTTGCTGGAGCCCGACATGGATAATCAAAAGGATAAAGGGTAAGTCATCAGGATCTACAGGATTACCATTAACACACATACACTCTACAGAGCACAGACATAAGCACATACCAATGCCACAACCAGCAGCTGCCATCATCTTTATTAAATACACAATCACACCAGCCACAAGTTCCCTCTTTAATACACTGCAGAGGAGTGAATAAAGGTCACAGAGAGAGGAGGAGGAGGAAGAGGAAGAGAAGGAAGAGGAATAAGAGGAAAAGGAAAAAGAAAAAAATAAGAGGTTTTGATGACTGAGCTGCCGAAAAAAATCTGCTGCTCTGTGATTTTTCACAGTCATCAGGATTTGGACAGTTCTGAAGCCAGTGGTGGAAAAGGGGGGAAAACACGGGTACGCCGTTCCGGGAGTAAAAGTTTCCAAAATCTATTCAATGTTTTTTAAAGAAGGAAATCGCTAGCTTTTTTTCACTGTTGTGTTCATGAATCAAATATAATTTATTGTGCTTGAACGCACCACAAATCCAGCTACTATCCATACAGCCAAAGGGAAGGCGTGACATTGCAGGGTCCCTGGAGCTAGTTCCCACAGCAGCGTTTCTGTATCGGCGTCATCATCTCTACTCACTATAGTGAGTGTGCTGGGAGCTGCAGTGATGTTGACAGGCATGTCCTAAATCTCTGACGAAAGGAGGCAGTAAACTCAATGTACCTGATTTTCATGATTATGCAAACGCTACACTGTGAACAACAAATCTGTGTTGAAATCATACTAACCCTGCTCCCTGTGAACTCATACATAAACACACACACATGCATGGAGCGAAGTGTAATTTGTCTTTATGCATCACCCACAACTTTCTCGCCAACTTCTACTTAAGATACTGATTTTCAAAGCCGAGGAATGGGTTTCAACTTGTTGCTATCAGCTGTTACAAACTCAATTTGACTCTACAACCTGTTATATTGTGACAAATAAATCAACCTTGTAAGAAATTGTGTGCGTGTGTTGAGGCTGCATTGCATTCTGGTATATAAAGAGCTAAAATGTGTGCAGGTGTTAATATCAAAGCTAAAGTGTTAATTTCCACAGTTAACAAACAGCAAGTTGTTTAACATCAAATCAAATAGAACATAAGCTATTGTTTTCACTTAAAGCTCACAGGATCCTCTTGCAATGTAGTTGATGTGAATTCCTGGATATTAAATGTTCATCTGCAATTTTCTGTTGTGGTAACTGTTCTTACTGAAGCATGTCACATGATACGCTTAGGCTGTGTTTGAAACTGAGACCATAAATTTGTTGTCATGGTTTCAGTCATACATTCTCTTATCAGAATATTTGATAATATAATATGTTAATAAGCACGGCTGGCCTACCTGCCTGTCTACCTGCGCGCACTCTGCCCGTATATGCATTGTGCATGAAAATATGTTTGGGGGGGAAGTGGTTTTGGAGGGAGGCCTGAAGGGAGAGTGTGGGATTTTTTTCGATTGGATACTTAAAAAATTTAGCTGTAACTTGCTAGTTCTCCAACGTTGCCTATCTATAAAACATCAGTAAAAAAAAATGCCTGTTGTAATTTCCCAGGTCCCAAGATAGTATTAGTATGTATCGTTTTGTCTGACAAACTGGAATGGAGTAAACGGAACAGGGACAGATACAGTTGTTTCGCAGAGTGGATCACCAAAAGACTCGAGCAGGGAAATGATACAATACTGCTCCCATGGTCATTTCCTGTCGTCCCATATCCAACCTCACATGAAATGTGTCGCTTCAGCAACTTTGATATAACCATGAGCCATACAAACACATGCACACAGGACGTCTACCCTTTCTAAATACAAACACACCCATATGAGACACAGAAAAACACACACACACACCGCCTTTTTAACCTCACACAAAGCATTCACTCAAACTGCATAGGGCTGAATCCATACACACAGCCAATGGTAGGTTTGCTTGCTTGAGTGACTGCACTATGTGTGTCTGAGGCCCCATCCACACTACTCCGTTTTAGTTTACAAACGGAGAATTAAAATGAATACGACCACCGTCCACACCAGCGTTTTAGCTGCGTTTTGGAGTTGATCTCCGTCTACACTAAAAAAAAGTTCAGGTACACTGGGCATGCGCGTGCAGATGTAAACATGAAGCAGATGGTCTCTTCCTGGTTACAGAAGTTTGGCGAAAGAAAAAATAAATACAGACGAAGAAGGTTTTTTTTTTTTTTTGCATGCACCAATAAGGGGCTGGGACTGTTACTTAATGTAACACAGAGTGTGGCGGCGGAAAACTGGTTAGTTGTTGCAAAGTAAATAAGGCGACATGCACAGTACAAGTGTTGGCAGATAAAATATTATGTACCGTGCAAATAACACTTAATAAAAATACCATGTCAAAAACCCGGTCAGTAGCATCGTTTTTCTGCTTTGCATGACTTCTAAGACCCAATCAATCAAAGAGCCGAGCATGAGCGGCTGCGTCATCGTTTCTAAAGTCCTCCGTTTTTGCCCGTCTTCACTAAAACGCCCTCCGGAGGTTTTGAAACGCAAAACGGGTCGGCAGCGTTTCCAAACTTCTCCGTTTTAGGTCTTCGTTTTCGCCGTTGTAGTCTAGACGGGAGGTGCAAACGTAGCAAAAGGTCTCCGTTTTAATTCAAAAACGCAGTAGTGTGGATGGGGCCTGAATGTGTGTGTTTTGAGCACTGAGTTAGGGCCTGGCGCCTAGAACAGATGGTCAGCTTGCTGCTTAAAAGGATAGGGAGGGGGGATTTAGGGTTGTGGCAGTGAGGGACAGCACAGGGCCATGCTGGCTGCTTCTCTGTTTACCATCACACAAGGACAATCAACTAATGGGCATCTCTTCCAGGAAAACACTGGCGATTCTTACCAATCACAGTACATCTCCCGATAATCTCCACTGCTATCTTGCTTTTGATAGTTTTACAAACCTTTGTTTTGAATGGATCAAGATGATATTAGGGAAATGTAAGGTAGATGTACTGGGACAAGGGATGCAAATTTAAGGCTTTTGCTTAATTGATTGTCATACACATTAATTATCAATAACGTATTAATCATTAATTAATAATTATTAATCAGCTTTAAAAAAAGTAACAGGCCTATTCCAGCAACACAAGTAAAGAAAATTGGGTATTTGAATGACAAATTAACACAAGCAAAATCAGTTGAATAAAAATAATGCCGTAACTAAGAGAGCTGCTCTTGCTCAATCAGCCTGTTATTTTTCAGCAATTTAACGCACAAAATGTAAGAGATTTAACATGATCATTATGCACAAATTTAAAAAACTTTTTTGAAAGAGATTCAGGGCGCCAAAAGTGCACAACTCACACAAGTGCTGTAACCAACAAAATACAGCTGGTAGATCTGGTCATCTGGTTTAATAATAAAATTGGCTGCTCTGGTCTTCTGACAACAGAGCCGCATAGACTACAATGACAGGAGAGACGAGTAACAGACTCCCTTAGACCCTAAGGTGGTTTTGTTTGCTCTGAACTGGGAAAAAGTGATAAGCCAAACATTGGTGTTTGGGTTAAAACGTCACATTTTATGGAAATGAGAAAAAAAAAATCTATTTCATATTTTAATTTTTTAGAATATGTCAGTATTGTTGATAACCTGTTTCCTTTGTTTAATATGTTGGGAGAAAATGAGGGAAACGGGAGAGAAGGGGTTTGTTATTGTTGTGCTGTTTTATAGGCCAGTTGTTCTTTGTCAAAACAAGGTCCCCTAAACTGACATAAATTAGACCATGGAACCCCATTTGATAGTAGTTTTGCTTTTTAGATGTTTGATTACAGAAAGTGTATGAAACCAATGACTAAAATAGTCATACAGTCCATCATTGTGTAACTGTATGGATGGAATTATAGTGAAAATAAATAATTTCCCTTTTTGCTGTGGACCCCCTGGAACCTCCCCAGAGACCCCTGGGTGTCCCCTGATTCGCTGACAACAAATAATATAGGCTATTCACAGATATGATAGAAAAAGGAGCACAACATTTGATAGGAAATGTAATAATAAACACTATTTAAGCCAACTTTAAATATCCTTCAGTTAGGATGATCAGTGACTGACAGGGATGCATGTGAACAACATGTATTCTTGCTAGAAACGGTTTCACAAGTTCCATCATCTCCAGCATGTCTTCAAAGTAAGCAATAACCTTCAAAATGTTGTTCCTGTCGTATCACAAACCACTCACATGCCCACATCAGGGGTCTGAATCATGCAGTTATCATGCAGTTATTCCAACTGTATTACAATCAAGGTTCAAGGTACATTTATTTGTCATTCTACAACACAGGGCTGCACAATGAAATAACAAAATGTCTTGAGTGAAAGCTACTGTTGTGTCCAAGAATAAAATTTCTCTCTTTGTTATCTCTTTAGATAACATATATAATGTGTTCACCATTCAGGCCTACATGTTCCTCATCAGTACAACATTTTGCTGTGGACTGCAACAAAGAATAAACTGCCAGCAAAAGGCCAAATGTGATGCTAAAAACATGAAAAGGTGAACATAATTACAATTGTTGCACTTTTTTCAACTAAATAAGGTATTCTGTTCCCCCATACACATACTGTATCAGCCACACTTTCACACCGTGCATTAAATGGTATCACGGACATTGTTCAGGGTTAGGCGTGACGACTTCAAAGTAGCAAACAGAAACTCTGCTGCTAAAAGTATCCTCAGAATGAAAATGTGTAAAA